TTCCCTCTCGAGCGTTGTACTGCAATCGTTGCCCATAAGGTGTCGAACGGTCACCGAAACGTCCTCTGCACAGCGAAAGTCGTAAAGCATCGAGGCCCTCCCCAGAACGGCAGATCTCAGTAGACACATTCCACAGCCACGACAACGACCTCAACCGTGACAGCGTGAGCTCCTTAGTGACTCTTGCGACTTGCATAGCAACAGCGAGCTGAGGACCGAAGGTGGGCTTCTCTATGATTCGAGATTCGGTGGCCAGCTGGAGTGCATCAAGCAATAACCCGTTGTCGTCCATACCCCATCCGGGAGTACATAATGCATACGCGATACACACAAGGGAGTGCTGGTCTGACTTCGGCAAATTGGACTTAGCCAGTTGCAGTAGCTGTCGTCTATGATGACCCTCGATAGTGCTCACCAAGTCCAGCCGAGATATCGCCAAGAGTGTGCGTGCGAGAGAAGCAGGATCTGGTTTTTCACACGACATAAAAGCACCAAGCAAGACCCCACACAGCAGTGGAACGTCTCGTAACAAAGCCTTCGCATAAATGCCCATCAGTAGTGAGAGATTCTGTGGCGATCGAATTTGGCTTCGAGGAATACGATGAAGACGTTTCGAGCACTCCATCAGGATGGAATGGTCGTTAATACCGCAACTCACGAAGAACTTGCCGGCACACGCGAGCTCCGCGATGGTCATCTTGTCAACAGCAGGACTTATAAAATAACTCAAACGTTTGACGATATCACTTTCGGGGACAAAGTTCGCCTTTTCGAAGGAATTCAAAAGCATAACCAAATCCTTCGCTTGCATACTTGTAAGGCTCTCGTTGTTTGTCAACATTGGCGTCACAAACTCAAACACTTTTTCAACTGTGGGGTTGCCAGAAGAATAGAGCCGCGATAAAGAGTAGATGATAAGGGACTGCTCGTGTGGGTTCATTTTCGCAAGAACTCCCGACACATTCTCGGTTGATAGCAACGAATTCACACAAAACTCTTCCACAATCTGCAAAGTACAGGGACGAATTTTCAGCTTAGCACATGCGTGCAGTATCTGAAAACCATATTAATACACACAATTTTGACCGATTACTCTCACATTGGCGATTCCCTGTGGAGACAAGTCTTTTCCAACTCGAGGGAGTACACTGCGGATGAGTTCCTCACACAAGACCAACACACACTCGGGCACCCCGTCCTTTGAACGCTTGTTTTCATCAGCCAGCACCTTCGCCACTGCATTCACGGCAAGCGATAGATCTTGCGGTACTAACTCGGCAGAGTGCTCCACCAGAGCCTTTAGCGAGCCCCTTATCCAACCGCAAGAATCAGAAGCTCCTGTTCTCGCTAGTGTGTTCATGGTTAGAGTCGCTTGACGAACGGGCATTTGACTGGCGTGTACGCGGAGCCAGCGGCCCACCATAGACTCCCACTCAGTGCTGCTAGGACGGTTACCAGACTTGGCCGCTCTATTGAGGGCGACTGTGAGGTAGACGTAGTCAGACTGTGTGAGGGGAGTGGTAGAAGAGGAAGCAATGATCTGTAGGAGCCTTTCTGGTGTAACTCCTCTGAGTTCGGGAATCATATTTGAGTCGGACCAAAAGATACTATGGGAAAGTATGCTCATGGTCAACTACCAGTGTTGGTGACAATA